CCAGCTTCTTCTCTCATCCTCTTCTTCTTCTGCCTCCCAGCTTCTTCTCTGATCTTCTCTTCTTCTTTTGCCTCCCAGCTTTTTTCTTATCCCTTTGAATATATGAATTTTTTAAGCTTGTTTCCTACATGTGATAGAAATATATTTTTGATAGGTAATGTTTCCCCTTCATCCTTTTTTGCATAAGATGTTTATTATGTTATCTTTAGGGTTCATTTTTAGGGTTAATGGCTTTGGGTGTAATTTTGTTTCTACTGTACACTCTCAAAGGAATTCGGCCACAAAAGCATTTGACAAAGCATTCAACATACTTGTGCTTACGGATCCATTATACCAAGGGATAAGAAAAAATGTATTATGATCATAGCTTCATACATATCGATTATGGTTGCAGGAAACCTTATGCGAATGAGTAAATAAAGGATTCAGGACTCTTTCAACTAGATTGTTGGCATTTTTATATTGTGTATCTTTCAGTTGGTCCTACGGTTTTTCTTTTAAGTAAAACGTTAGTTTTTTCATTAAAAAAACTTAACTCTTGATTCAATAATACAGTTGTAGAAAAAGTATCTGTTTGTTGAGGTTTTAAATCTGTTCAAGTATTTTTGTCATTTGGATGGAGATTCCCAAATATTTGTCCTAATCATTATTTCACTGTTGGTTTTGCAGGAGCTGCAGCAACATATGTCATATTTGGCCATTACATGGACTTATACACATGTACGACTCTTGCATAAGTACTACTTATCTTTGAAAGTATTGAGTTTACGTTAAAATTCATATATCAAGCAATTTGTGTATGGCTTGCATTGCAGGTGTGTGGTTGTATTTAGTTCTGATCTAATATTTCTTCAAGTAAGTATGAATCCTTATCGCAGGAGGGGTACAAAGATGTGTGCAGTGAGCTTAGACCACGCGTCTGTATCACGATCCATTTGGTTTCGCTGACCAACCTAGAAAGTTTTCAACCTTTGTAGCTTATTATTTGTTTGATCTTGCTGTTTTAATCCTCGATGAATCTTCCATCCTTGCATGCTTTATTAACTTATGAATTCATTAGTTTGCACAGCCTGTCGAATTTGAAAATCTTGGGTGTTTATATGTAATAGATGACACAAATAGAATATAGTTAGTTACACTTTCTGTTATATAGTTAGTTACACTTTCTGTTATATAGTTAGTTGCTCTTTCCACCTACTATATAACTGGTGTAATCTTTTTTCATTGTATAAGAGATTCTTACTCACTGCATTTTATCTTCTTGCTCTTTACTTTGAGCTCTCTTACCACTCTTCAATGGCTTCCATGTGTGAAGCATAATATGGTATCATCGTCTTCGATCCTCTTTCCACAGTTCCGCACCGTTTTTTCCCTTATATTCATATCTTTTCTTTGATTTCAACATGCCTCCGCGTAATGATCCTACTGCAAATCGAATCACAAATTGTGATGTTGATTCGGTTTACTATGTTCATCCTAGCGAAGGTCCCAATTCTGTTAATATTCAACCTCAATTGAATGGTTCGAATTACATTTCGTGGTCAAGATCCATGGAAAGAGCTCTTGGAGCTAAGAACAATATTGCGTTCATCAACGGATCCATTCGTGTTCCAAGTATCAACGATCTTAATCGATCTGCGTGGGAATGATGCAATTGCCTTGTTCATTCATGGATTCTCAATTCATGGATCTTAAAATGATTCCTAAACAAGCTTTGTGGCATTTTAGATTGGGCCATTTATCACATGATAGACTTTCCAAAATGGCTCAAATGCATCCTGATATTTCCAATGATAATAAATCTACATGTGATGTGTGTCATTATGCTAGACATAAGAAAATACCTTACACTTTGAGTCATTCTAAAGCTTTTCAAAATTTTGAATTGTTGCATTTTGATATATGGGGTCCTATCTCTACAAATTCTATCCATCATCACAAATATTTTTTGACAGTTGTTGATGATCACAGTCGATTTACTTGGATCATACTACTTAAAAACAAATATGAAGTTTCTACACATGTCCAACAATTTGTTGCTCTCATAGAGAATCAGTTCCATACATGTCCTAAGTTCATTAGGTCTGACAATGAACCTGAATTTCTCTTAGCTCAATTCTATGCCTCAAAGGGTATTATCCATCAAAGATCTTGTGTTGAGTCCCCTCAACAAAATGCAAGGGTTGAAAGGAAGCATCAACACTTGCTTAATGTAGGTAGAGCCTTACTGTACCATTCAAATTTACCTAAATCCTACTGGTCCTATGCAATTAGTTATGGAGCCTTTATTATAAATAGAGTTAACACTCCTTTACTCAATAACCAATCCCCTTATCACATACTGCATAATAAACCACCAGACATTAACCAACTTAAAGTTTTTGGATCTTTGTGCTATGCATCTACCTTGTCCAATCAAAGAACTAAATTAGATACAAGAGCCAGAAAATCATTGTTCCTTGGATATGTTGTTGGATATAAAGGATTTATTTTACTTGATCTAAATTCATTCAACATTTTCATTTCAAGAAATGTCACTTACCATGAACAAATTTTACCTTACCAAAATCAATCTTCATCTACCACACCTCCTTGGGAATATTATAGCACTTCAGTTCCCAATCCAAACCTCTGTCATGACATATCTAATTTTTCTCAATTTGACCTTTCCAATAACCACCTCAATCTTACACCCACCACAACTGACTCAAATCCACCTTCCAGCTCCCTGGCCAATTCTAATCCACCCACCTCTAATACACAACATCCTACTCGTGCCTCTACAAGAACCAAAACATTACCATCCTTTTTGAAAGATTATGTCTGTACAACCTTCATTGATCCACAATGCCAATCATCTTTAGGTAATCCTAAATATCTTTCTAATTTCATTTCATATCATAATTTGTCTCCTACTGATTATCGTTTCACTCTTTCTCTTACTACTAATCATGAACCTAAAACATATTCCGAGGCTAGCAAATTTGAATGTTGGAATCAAGCAATGAAAGTTGAACTTACTGCACTTGAGCAAACTGGAACTTGGAAAATTGTGGATCTTCCACCCCATGTTAAACCTATTGGTTGTCGTTGGGTTTACAAGATCAAGCATAAATATGATGGAACCATAGAAAGATTTAAAGCTCGTCTTGTTGCTAAAGGATACAACCAGATTGAAGGAATGGATTACTCAGATACTTTCTCACCTATTGCAAAACTCACCACAGTTCGATTGGTTCTAGCTTTAGCTTCAATCCATAACTGGCATCTTCACCAACTCGATGTGAATAATGCGTTTCTTCATGGTGATCTGAATGAAGAGGTTTACATGTTGATTCCACCAGGTGTCCAAACTTCCAAACCTAACCAGGTCTGCAAACTCATTAAGTCACTTTATGGATTAAAGCAGGCAAGCAGACAATGGTTTGAAAAATTGACTTCGGTCCGCACTGCTCAAGGCTACTCTCAAGCACCTTCTGATCATTCACTGTTTGTTAAACAAACATCCTCCACTTTTACAATTTTACTTGTTTATGTTGATGATGTTATTTTAGCAGGTAACTCTCTACAAGAGTTTCAAACTATGAAAAATATTCTTCATCAGCTCTTCAAGATCAAGGACTTGGGCATTCTCAAATATTTTTTTTGGTTTAGAAGTAGCTCACTCAAAACGTGGTATCTCCATTTGCCAAAGAAAATATTGTCTTGATCTTCTCAAGGATTCAGGTTTCATTGGTTCCAAACCAGCAAACAGACCATCCGATCCATCACTTAAGCTTTGTCAAGATGATAGTTCTGCTTATCACGATGTTCCGTCTTATAGACGACTCATTGGCAGACTAATCTACCTCAACACTACTCTCCCAGATATCACGTTTATCACACAACAACTCAGTCAATATCTTTCCAAACCTTCTACTCAACATTATAACGCTGCTTGCAGAGTTTTGCGATACCTCAAACAATGTCCAGGCCAAGGCTTATTTTTTCCACGAAGTTCATCACTACAAATAACAGGTTTTTCAGATGCTGACTGGGCTGGTTGTATAGACACACGTAAATCCGTTTCCGGATCATGTTTTTATTTGGGCATCTCCCTTATTTCATGGAGAACAAAGAAATAAACCACTGTTTCTTGTTCCTCTTCAGAGGCAGAGTATCGTGCTTTAGCTGCAGCCACGTGTGAATTCCAATGGCTTTTGTACTTACTTCGTGACATGAAAATTGCATGCTCTCAAGTCCCAGTTCTCTTTTGTGACAGTTAAAGCGCACTCCACATAGCTGCTAACCCTGTTTTCCATGAACGTACGAAACATCTTGACATTGATTGTCACATTGTACGCGAGAAATTTTCAGCAGGCATGATGAAACTCCTTCTGGTGTCCTCCAACAACCAACATGCTGATTTTTTCACTAAACCTCTCCTACCCAAACCATTTCACTTCCTCAAAGCCAAGTTGAACTTGATCAACATTTACCAAAGTTCAACTTGTGGGGGGCTAATAGATGACACAAATAGAATATAGTTAGTTACTCTTTCTGTTATATAGTTAGTTACACTTTCTGTTATATAGTTAGTTGCTCTTTCTTCCTACTATATAACTGGTGTAATCTTCTTTCATTGTATAAGAGATTCTTACTCACTGCATTTTATCTTCTTGCTCTTTACTTTGAGCTCTCTTACCACTCTTCAATGGCTTCCATGTGTGAAGCATAATAATATGTTTATGTATAGCATTGTATTTGTCGGAATTCTTTTATGTTGAATACTGAATTGACAACTTCTATTAACTATTATGCAGGTAATTATAGGTTCTGAAGATTTAAAAACCAACCATGCTATAAAGTAATATGTTGACATTATTCCTGAAAAGCAAAAATATGATAAGTAAGATGTAATCTACATTATTTTCAATCCCTAACCTGAATACTTTGTCATGTAAAACCGTTTATGTAGTCGTTTTATTACAGATTGGTGAAGTTGTTGAAGGACATCATGGATGGAAGTCGAATATTTCTATTCATGGATACTAAAAAAGGGTGTGATTAGATTGCTAGGCAGCTCTGCATGGATGGATGGCCCGCACTTTCAATTCAAGGAGACAAAAGTCAAGAAGAAAGAGGTTGGGTTTTTCAGAGTTTAAATCTGGAAAGAGTCCTATAAATACTGTAATAGATGTTGCAGCTCGTGGTTTAGGTACAAAAATTTGTGATCAACTGTTTAAATGATATTTATTTTCAGTGTAGGTAATTGAAGTAGTTTCTTTGGAAATTGTCAATAACTTTGTTGGAAAAGATAATTTTGTAGTTAATCAATGGCTAGGTTCATTCAATATTATTTATGAAAATGACTATTTTGAACCAATTTTAATCACTAGATTTTATGTTCATATATTACTCTTTCTGAAAATGTTGATTTAAGGAAACTGAGATGCGGACAGTGAGAAAGTACTTGGAAGATTTTGGTTATGTGAGTATAAGGTGACATACTTACTCTTATGTTTATCCATTCTACCACCATTTACTTTATTATGAGTTTCTTGGAGATGAGATCTTACTGTTTACTTATATTTCATATATATGATTATGACAATATGGATGGTAATAAATCTTTATTGACAGAAAGATCCAAAAAATGGTGAACTTGAAGCTCTATCTTTTGGTTTTAATCTATGTGAAGATGTGGACACAAGGGAACATGTATAATTATTAAACGTAGAAATGTGACAGTAGAAAACTTTAATTGGGGTAATGCTTCACTGTTAATCTGGTATATGGTTTTTCTTTTTCTACTGTTTGGGGTGTTTTGGTTCTCTATTGCTAAATAATTTATGTATAAAAATACTTTTTTTGAGTAAAGAAAATATTTATGTACTAATTAATTGTGGAGAACAAAATTATTATTTTTTGGAAAAGTAATGATGTAATTATGTCATAAAGCAAGGTTTAATTTTGGTTTTACTCATGGTTGCTTACCAATGCAAAGATGGGATGAGCTAAACAATTTTCTTCTTCTAAAAAGTAGGGTAAAAATCACTTCTTCCTTTAGAGTTATAAAAAAATTTGTGAATTAGGACTAAAAAAATTAATTTATCTTTTCTGATTTGGAAACTGTTTTGATTAAGTATGTTTCAGGGTTAAAGTTATATTTGGATTAAATGATCTTACCGGAAGATCTTTTACTTGTGATGTTGGCGTTGTTGCTGCTGTTGGACTTTGGAACTATGCCAATGGTCTTATAATAGCAACATAACTTGCGGTGAAAGTAGGCATTGCATGGGACGAAAATCTCAACCCAGTCAGACGACCAAACTAGTTTCCCAAAGATACCCATGATATGGTGAAAACTCCGACGTCCTGTTTTTAGAGAATGTCGAAACATCATTGTGCAATCCTACAATCAACGTTATTGGTTATCCCGTGAGTAATAAATGCAGTTGCGACGTGATAACCACGTCACAAACATATTTTAATGATAAATAAAACAAGTCAGAGAAGGTTGTTTAGTAAAAAAATCAGCGACATGTCTTACACGTCGCTACAGAAGGGGGAAATTTGAAATTTGGTAGTGACGTGATAGCCACGTCGCTACATTAAAGGGGGAAAATTAAAGATGATTGATTACAGGGTGACAGAGTGGGAAAGTGAATTATATTTCTGTTGAGTGTGTAGCGACGTGAGTATCACGTGGCAATGTTGCGACGTGACAGTCACGTCGCTACTTGATGTTTACATCTCCACAAAATTCTCATCCGTTACAGCACCTGGTGTGGTTTGTTTCCTCTTCCTTTCTTCTTCCTTTCCTCTTCCTTTCTTCTTCCTTTCTTCTTCCTCTCAAACCCAAATTCCCAAATCAAATTTCCTCCATCCCAAATTGTTGAAGAAGAATAAGGTATTCATATTTTGATAAATTTTTATTTCATTTGTTCATTATTTATTATACTGGTAATAAATATTAAAAAGGGTATTTTGTTTAACCTGTAGAGAAATTTGAAGAAGAACACCAAGAGCTACACAAGAAAAAGCAAATTAAGTGAAGAAATTATATAGAGGTATTTATGCATTTTTTTAATATTTTATATGTATTATATAGATTAGTAGTATATGTATTTTGTGTATGTGAATTAAAAAAATATTTTACTTAATTTTAGTTTTAGGTTAATTAGTATTATAGGTTAATGTTTAAAATAAAATGAAAATTAGAATGTTTTATATATTAATATATTATTAAACAGAAATATTATTGTTAATATATATAGGTTAATATTTATTAATATTATTGCATGTTATATAGACATATAAAAAAAATTTGTTAGTATATACGTATAAAATAAAATAAAAATTGAATATATATTAAAATAAAATTTTTTAGAAAACATAAAATTAAAAGTCTTATTTTTTATAGATGTATATATATATGTTAACACATAAATTTAATAACATATTTAAAAACAAAAATGTATATTATATTTATTATAATAGTTTTATTTTTTTATTTATATGTTAAAGATATGAAAAAAAAATTATATATTAACATAAGAATTTATAAAAAACATAATTAAAAAAAGAGTATATATATTATATTATTATTTTAATATTATTGTTATATATATAATAAAAAGTATATATGTTACATTATTTGTTTTCTAATATGTATATATAATAAAAAGTAAATATGTTATATTATTGTTTTTTGATATTATTGTTATATAATAAAAAAATATATATTTTATATTTGAATATTTATTTATATGTTAGTATATATATAAAAAAGCAAAATTTATATTTTTAAGAATAGTATTAAATAGTTTAAGAATAATATTATTAAGTTGATTAATATTTCTAATGAAAAAGACAATGATTGTATAAATGTGCGGTATGGAATATTATCGATATTATCGTAGTTGGATGTACGATAGAACATATCCAGGAAGAAGTGGACTTAAACCCAATTTTATAGTAGGAGTTGATGGGTTTATTAAGTGAGTGTTTGCTCAGGATTGTTGTCGAAGCGAAGGAGGGGTTAGGTGTCCCTGTCTTAAATGTGAAAATAGACCAATAATTAGTGACCCAGAGGAAGTAACACGTCATCTGCATAGAAGGGGATTCATTGAAAATTATTGGGTTTGGACGTATAATGGTGAAGAACTACCGGTTAATGTACCAGAGACTAGCAACACGCATGCTTCAAGTAGTCGACCGGTTATGGAGTATGAGGAGAACTTTAATTTGATCGGTGACATGGTTGAGGATGCTTTTGGTGTGAACGTGACATATGATGAACCTGGAGATTTTGACGGGGAAGAGTTGCCGAATGAGGAAGCGCAAAGATTTTATCAATTATTGAACGAGTTGAATACGCCGTTGTTTGAGGGGTCGTCAGACTCAAAGCTATCAATGTGTGTGAGATTATTGGCCGCCAAGTCAAATTGGAATGTTTCTGATCAATGTCTGGAACATTTTGCAAAAATGATGTTGGACTCCACCGCTACGAAAGACAACTTGCCTACAAGTTATTATGATGCAAAGAAGTGGGTGTCGAAGTTGGGTTTAAAAGTAAGAAAGATTGACTGTTGCATTAACGGTTGCATGTTGTTTTATGACAATGAGTTTGGTACTCAAGATGGATCGTTAGAGGAGTGTAAGTTTTGTAATAGTCCAAGATATCAAGTTCGCAGTAGAGCCGTTAACAGCAAGCAAAAGCGTGTAGCAGTAAAATCCATATTTTATCTTCCTATAATACCAAGGTTAAAAAGAATGTTTGTTTCAATGCACAGTGCAAGTCAAATGACATGGCATCATACAAACCAAACAAGTTCTGACACTATGCGACATCCATCTGATGGTGAGGCATGGAAGCACTTTGATCGGACACGTCCAGATTTTGCTGCAGAACCTAGAAATGTCAGGCTTGGATTATGCTCTGATGGATTTGCCCCATACGTGTAAGCGTCAGGAAGTGCGTATTCTTGTTGGCCAGTTATTGTAACACCTTACAACCTCCCTCCTGAGATGTGCATGACAAAACCATACATGTTTTTGACGTGTGTTATTCCAGGCCCGCACAGTCCAAAAGCTGGAATTGATGTGTACTTACAACCTTTAATTGATGATTTGAAGAAGATGTGGATTGGAGAATGGACTTATGATATATCCCGTAAACAGAACTTCACATTACGAGCTGCCTTGATGTGGACTGTTAATGACTTTCCAGCATATGGCATGTTGTCTGGTTGGGGTACGCATGGAAAAATGGGTTTTCCGCATTGCATGGGATACACCAAAGCATTTACGTTGGATAAAGGTGGGAAAAGCTCATGGTTTGACTGTCACCGCAGATTCCTACCAGCAAATCATCCATATAGAAGAAACAAGACAAATTTTAAAAAAGATGTACGAGAGAAAGATTTGCCTCCGCCTCGATTGCCAACAGGGGTTATATGGAACCAAGTATGTGAACTACCAAAATTTACAGATACTGGCAAAGCATGCCGAATTGAAGGATACGGCGTCACCCACAATTGGACAAAAAGAAGTATATTTTGGGATCTTCCGTATTGGAAAGATAATTTGTTGCGCCATAATCTTGATGTTATGCATATTGAGAAGAATTTTTTTTATAATGTATTTAACACAGTGATGGATGTGACAGGAAAAACAAAAGATAATGAGAAGGCCAGACAAGACATGGGAATTTGGTGTAATCGAAGAGAGTTGGAGTTGAAGCCTCAACTGAATGGAAAATTATTAAAACCCAAGGCTTGTTTCAGTCTGACTTCCCAAGAAGCTAAAGCGGTTTGTCGATGGTTAAAATAATTGAGAATGTCCGATGGGTATTCATCAAATTTAGCAAGGTGTGCTGACCCTAACACTGGAAAATTACATGGTATGAAAAGTCATGATTGTCACATTTTTATGGAACAGTTGCTACCAATTGCATTTGGATCGCTACCCAAACATGTTCTTGACCCACTAACTGAAATTACTCAATTTTTTAGAGATATTTGTGCGTCAGCTTTAAAAGTGGAAGACATCATTAAGTTGGACCAAAACATTGCACTCATTCTTTGTAAGTTGGAACAAGTATTTCCGCCTGGTTTCTTTGACTCCATGGAACATTTACCTGTGCATCTTGCATATGAAGCTTATCTTGGTGGACCTGTTCAATATAGGTGGATGTATCTGTTTGAAAGGTTCATGGGTGATTCAAAGAGATCGGTGAAAAATAAAGCTAGAGTAGAAGGATCTATATGTGCACATTACTTGCATCGGGAAACATCACATTTTTGCAGTCACTATTTCAATCACTTGATGTTAACTTCTAGAATCATACGAAATCCTGTAAATGTCAATCAGAGGAGTCAATTCACCTTATCAGTCTTTGCGCTTCCAGGTCGACCTTCTGGAAAGAAGGGTGTGCATTGGTTGACCCAAAAAGAAATGCAATCTGCACATGTCCATGTCTTGATCAACTGCGTCGAAGTTAAACCATATCTTGAGTAAGTTTACCAAAACTTTTTAAACTTATGGTGTGTGTATACCAAACTTATTAAACTTATGGTGTGTGTTTTGTAGGGAATTTAACAATGCCTATTTTCATAGTACCGGGGTACAGTCAACATCAGGTGTCATTCATGCTCAATTTCCCTCATGGTTCAAGCAAACATTGTCTAGCGTTCTTGCACTAACTCCGGAAATACTCCATTTGAGAAACTTGGCAGAAGGCCCTATCCAAAGCGCAAATGATTGGCACACATACTTCGTGAACGGATATAAATTTCACACTGAGGCATGGACCGAAGGGAAAAAAACCATAAATAGTGGTGTTTTGTAAAAGGAGTTATAAATGGCGGTGAAGACGACTTCTGTGGATTTGTTAAACATATCTACGAGTTGGTATACAATTACTTGGACACGGAAAATAAAGTTGTCTTGTTTTATTGTGAATGGTATGATCCAACTAGAGGCACAAAGATAGACAAGTCATATGGTTCTGTCGAGATTCAAATGAACCGGAGATACAAAGAATATGACCCTTTCATAATGTCACATATTGTTAGGCAGGTTTATTATGTTCCTTATACTTCATTTGTAATACGTAAAAGAGGATGGTGTGTTGTAATAAAAACAAAATCGCTAGGTCATATTGAAACTGGAGATCTAGTGGAAGATGTTGCCTACCAAGTTGATGATGTTGAACAGATTAATGATGTGGTTGCAGCTGAAGACATTACAACTTTGTCTGATACAACTGTTGAGGGACTTCAAGTTGATGCGTCTATATTGTTGGTTGATAATAATGTGGATGAAGACAATGATGAAGAGTTTGAATCCGAGGACAATATTACATCGGATGATGAACATGATATGGATAACGAGCATGAAGATTTAGATTAATTAATCACTTAATGTAATATTAATGAATATCTATTGAACATGTATATATTGAATTTGTCAATGAATATATATTTATGTCAATGACTTTATTATCTTTGTTTATGAAAATATATATAACTAGGTAAAATGCCACCGAAGAATAAGGATAGCGGTAAGAAGTCTCAGCGTCCGAGGGTAGTAACATGTGAGTCTCCTCACTCAGCCATGTGCCCACCCCCTCAGAGTCAGGTTGATCCTATGTCCCTGGCCAGTACTCAGGGTTTTGTCCCATTACTCTCCTCCCATACATTCCCGTCTGGGGTACCTGCATCTTTTGTGCCACCTGGAGGCCCCGATTTCCTTTTCCCACAGACTCAGATGCCGTCTTCCTTCCAGCATGCGGGAGGATCTAGTTTCCCTTTCCCACCGACCCAGATGCCGTCATCCTTCCAGCAGGCGGGAGGATCTAGTGTTCCTTTCCCACCGACTCAGATGTCATCTTCCTTCCAGCATGCGGGAGGATCTAGTTTCCCTTTCCCACCGACCCAGGTGCCTTCATCTTTCCAGCAGACTGGTGTCCCCTCATCATTCCAGCAGACAGGGGGAGGACCCAGTTTTCCATTTCTACAGACTGGTGTCCCCTCATCATTCCAGATGTCTTCATCCTTCCAGCA